TCTAATCATCAAAACCATAAATCATAAGTTCATTTTTTTCTGTTTCACACAAAAAGTCTATGAGGGGTTTCCAGTCAGCTATAAACCTAGATATTGTCTTTTCTCTGATCAAAGAAGTCAATTTAGCCATCTCAGCAAGTTCCATCGTCTTCACCAACCACTCCTCTACTGTGGGTAATGCCGAGTCTTTCCATCTTTGTCCATACAAGAGTCTTGCTGCACCTTCATGGTTATTTTTGATATGCTGGTCTTGTGGGGAAGATGAAATATTCATCTTAGTTCCACTTCCTCAGTGAGATTTGATTACTGTGTCATTTTCTTGCTGTCACTTTCTGAAATACCAATCCTGTGTAGGAATGGTGGTTGGCTACGCAACACTTCTTTTTTAAAAATACATTTCCTTTTTTTCCTTTTGTTTAAAATAAACAATGGGATGGCATCATGGAGGGGGCAGCAGAAGACCAAACCCTTCTCATTCACCCCCCCCATGTCATAATTTCACTCCCTACGTGCCCATGTGTGGTGGGAGGGAAAAAGCAATGAGTCAAAGAAATCCTTTCTAATTTGGTTGCCCCTGTAGCCCCCAGCCTTTTCCGCTTCAGATCCATGCTCCCAGGAGATCCAGATAATATGAAAGCCAGGTTAAGGTAAGTAAATATCTCATAGCCTTGATTACAAATTGCCTTGATCATTCTTGACATACATTCTGGATTTGTATGTCAGCAGTGATCATTTGTAACCAAGGGCTAAATACAAACTGGATTCACCTCTCATAAAGTTATGTGAACAAGACTTCCATCCTCATTGCCCCCTTTTTGAAGATTCCCCCCCTCCAAAGATTTTTCTTCAGATTTCCCTCGTACTTACGGATCATTCCCCTACGTACACGGATAACACTGTTTTGCTGCAAACTGAATAGCAGAGCACTGGAAATAAGATGGAATAGTTCATTGTCCCAGCATACTAAATAAGAACCAGACAACCTTTTGGCCTCAGGAAGTGCTGGATTACAAATCCCACAACATTGTCCACTTAAGTGGTATTTATGGGAGTTATATTGCACAACATTTGGAGGCACTAATTTGCTTACTTCCAGTTGTTTCAACCATTGGAGGCATTAAAAATTCCAGAGCTGAGCATTTTCTAGAAGTATTCCATCATGGATTTCTTGGTTTAGCACTGTTAGAGCCTTGGATTAATTTAAGTCTTCCCTTCTTCCTTAGTTCAGATCTAAGTTAACATTGATTTTTAAACAAAAAATTAGAAACTTTGCAATCTGTTCTAAGCTTTTAGGACAAGGCAAGTTTGGTTAAATTGTAAATAAAATAGGAATAACTTGTATTCCAAAGCACTCTAAAAAAAGCTCTTCAACTTACTACTTCAATATTACAATCTTCAACAAATTTTGTTTGATTGTATATCTCCGTGAATAACTTTGCCAGGCTTTTCCCAGACACGCTGATCAATTTCTTTAGGTTTTCATTGATGAAATGCAGGTCCCACAACTCCCCACAGAATATGTCCTGGAGAAAATAAACGGAGATGGGATGCAGAGAAAGCATGAGACCAAAAGGAAGAAAGAAAATTGTACCCTAATTATAAACTAGGGCTACCACATTTGGGTTGCAAGCCTTTGGACCACTGCTAGATGGGAACAAAGAAACAGAGAAACCATGGATTTGCTGCTGCCATCTAGTGGTTTTCCATATCATGGCAGACCAAATCCGGTAGCATGGCCCTACTATAAATCACCAAGAACACACCAAGTCAGATTCCAAGAGGGGAGGTGGAAATCATGTAAAAACCCTGTAACCAGAGGCATGACATAATGTGAGATCTGTATCTCTGTGCTCCGAGAGGTTGACTGTATGCACCATTCTGCTAGATTACTAGGTCAAAGCATTGGTTCTCAGCTATAGGATGTGATTTTCCAATAAGTTCAGGAGCTATTTCAACACATTTGGAAGACATCTGAAGGCTGATCAAGAGTCACCAGCAGTAGCTTTTCAGATGTTTGACACAAGACTTTCCCAGTCGTGGCTGGAGAGGGCAAAGACTGAACCAGGAGGCTTCAACATATACAGTATGCCAGTGTTGTCCAAACATGGCTGGCTGGGGAATTCTGGGAGTTGAAGTCCACTTATCTTAAAGTGGCCAAGTTTGGACAACACTGATATATGCAAAGTATACTAGGGTCCCTTGCGGACTTCAGTTCCCATCACCCCATCATGGACATTGGTAAGGAATTGTGGGAGTGTTGGTCTAAAACAACTGCAAAAGACAGAATGGCTCTTCAAGACATGTTCTTTGCCACTGAGATAAGGCTTCTCACTGTCAAGCTGGTTGGAGCCTCCAATAGGCCACCTTCCTTAATAAAACAATGGCCTTTCTGCTGCTATTCTAAAAAACAACCTTGGCAGCGTACATATAACCAAACAGCCTAAACTTCTGCCAGAAGCAAACTCAAGAGCAAAACACTAGCTTGGGGTGGGCAACCTGTGGCCAAAGGGTCCCCCCAAATCCCCTTTCTACAGCCTTTGGAGCTTTCTTAACCATGATTGCTAAACACAGACACCATTTTGACACAGGAAAATATGAAAACTGTAGCATAAAATACACATATCATAGGCCTAAAATAGGCATATTAATTAAAAAACAACAACTCCCAAACACTTCCAAGCTGAGCCTACCTATAGGTGCCACCAACTTTGAACCTTTCTTCTCCTTCAAAATATAAGCTAGATACAAGAAGAGTCTTATTTCAACATCATGCTATATTCTCAGTTGCAGTGTTTCTCAATCTTAGCGAAGATATGTGGACTTCAACTCCCCCAATTTTCCCCTCACCACCCCAGCTGCGGGGGGGGGGTA